AAATTAATCAGGCAAAAAATATTTTCACTTAAATTCTAAATATTTTTATAAATATACTAAAAGCTTAGAAGGATTTGAGTGGAGGCATCGACCCCGTTGAAAAGAATTATTTTTTGAAAAATGATTGCCACTTTCTTAATAGGAACATATAAAAATAAAATTATTCTTATCAAAACAGAATATATTCTTGCAGACAACGAATTTCAAACAATTTAGTCAAAATTGATGGCATTTCGTTAATTTAATAATATTTGGATAAACTAAAATCGGTGCAAGAATTTTCAAAAGATATGATTAATTAATTATTAAAGAGTTTAACTTAATAATTTATTTAATCATCGTTTAAGAGGTAATATATAATAAATATGATATTTAAATATAAATAATTGTAATATTATTTTTTTTTAAGATTATGATCTCTTTTCGGTCCGATAAATCATGATTGGAAACATTATAAAATTGTGATTAAGAATTAAATTATAAATATAATGGAGATTAATGTTAAAGAATTAAAGTTTCTTTATGTTTGACAAATTTACTTTTATAATTATTTGAAGAAATTTACAGGAATATTTTTGAAAGCTTGATTAAAATCTTTAATTAGGATGTCTTGGACTTCTTTGCTTGAAAATGCTTGATAGTCTGAAGTTTTAATCATAAACATACATATTTACTATGGTTCAAGTCAAATTGAAAATAACTAATTATATTCAGTGTGAACTGAACCAAAAGTAGAATGAAAGTGTGAAAAGGATCAAAGGGGTTGAAAATGCCTTTGAAAAGTGGTTGGTTTCTCAAGTGGAGGTGATATCGATATGGTTGCTCCATTAAGTTTTTTTTTAATAAGCCAAAGCCAAAGTAGGATGGTCCTCACAAATATATTATTAATGATGATAATTTCATCATTTTGTAGAATCTGATTACAGCATAGTGTAACAAATCAAAGCTCAATTAAAACTTTCATTTTGTTTTCTTTTGAATTGGGAAAGGAGATTCCAATTTTTTTTTTTTCATAAAAGAAATTATAACTTCTGATAAAATTATATCCGAAGATATAATTTCTTCATGATGTTTTTACTTTCCTACTATCCGTTTGCTATGATTCAAAATCGATATCTCAAACTTTATCAGAAGAAATATTGTCAGAATTTCATGATCATCTAGACAAGATTTTTCAGTTTGCAGTCTCAGAAGAGATTATACTTTTCATGGTTAGCTATCAAAACTGCATAGGCAATCAAGATTGAACAGTACTGGAATTTCATATTCAAGGCTCTTGCGGATTTGATTTGCCTATCAAAATTTATTACTGTTAAAAGTGAGAGCTGGTGGCAACAAAATAAGAGCTAGTGAACAAAACTTAAGAAATTTGAAGTCTGAACTCAAGCTTTCTGGGAATAATTTCGCTTTTTTTTTTTGCCATCAAGCATATAGCATATATCGAATTTTACTAAACTCAAAACTTAACTTAGATGATTTATTCAAAAATTGCATTTGACAAATCTGATGTTCAAAAGTTAGTATCTGTAAACCTTTTTCCTATTTGTTGTGATCTCTTAAGTAAAAGAAGGTAGTGAATTTTGCCAACTTCTCAAAATTATATATTGGAGGTGTCCTGCCTAGATTTGTTGAATATCAAGCATTTTCTTCTGTCATTGTGCATTTTCCTCTAATTTTCCTCACCATTTTAATAAATTTTTGGTGATACCTACTTCTTGGAATAAAACAGATGTGGATTTGATTTGCCTATCAAATATTAGTATTGTTAAAAGTGAAAGCTGGTGGCAACAAAATAAAAGCTAGTGAACAGAACTCAAGAAATTTGAAGTCTGAACTCACGCCGCCGGGGAATAACTTTGTTCTTTTTCCCGTTAAGCAGATAGCAGCTACTGAATTTTACCGATCCAAAACTTAACTCAATTGATTTATTCAGCTATCTTTAAGAAATGTCATACAACAAATCTGATATTTAAATTTTAGCACTTGTAAGCCTTTCTCATATTTCTTGTGGTTTCCTATGTAAAAAAAAATAGTGAGTTTTGCCAACTTCTCAAAATTATAATTTGGAAAGGTTGAATGGGATACATAGAAGAAAATTGGAGGTGACCTGCCTAGATTTATTGAATATCAAGCATTTTCTTCTGTCATTATACATTTTCCTCCTTTAATTTTCCTTACCATTTTAATAAATTTTTGGTGATACCTACTTCTTGGGATAAAACAGATGTGGATTGCCTAACTAAAAGATGGTGAAACTTCTGACAATTGGTTTTGAGAGTTGTTGATTTTTAACCCATCACTCTCACCATCGTTATTATCATTGTCATTTCATAAGATGAGCTAGTCATTACCTAGTTCTGATCCTGTCAAAAGAAGGATGTAAAATAAGTTGAGGAAATGGCGGTGGGGAATAAAATATTCCCCAGCTACGGTCCCAACCAAGGAAAATCATCAATCTCACAATTCTACTATGCATTAAAATTTGTCAAATATTTAAATATCATCTTCAATTTGTAAGATCTAATGGTGGTATGTTTTAATTTGTAAATGCGAGACAAAACTGTAAGATTTAATGGATTGAAACGACTAATCACTTTTAAGTTGGTGTGTACCATGAAACTGAGTACGTACCTGTAAGGCTGCTTTTATTAGAGGTGTAGTTTCAAGCTATTGTGCTATGCTGCCAAATAAACCCCACCAGGGGTAGTGCCTAGTCAAAATTAGAATAGATGTTATTGCCAATGAATATTTGAAGATGCTGATGGTTAGGTTCACATCAGTCCCCTGTTGAGAGATGTTTCTGCACAGTTTGGTTTGCAGGAAAAATTGACTGAAACAATGTATGAAGCATGTAATCTTATTGACACTTTGTGAGAAATGCTGTTAGGTATGATGTGGAAAGAAAAGCTGAATTGCAATCAGGCAGAGCATTATATCGACTCAAGTTGCTTCCTGAGATGGAATTTTTTCCGATTCGAACCAAAGCATGGAACCAGATTTGGGAATGGGGGTCTAATTGCGAGTATGCAATGGTTACAAAACAATCATGCAGTTTTTTTTAGTAGGAGATCGTAATTTGAAAATTAAAAAAAAGTTATAAACGTTAAGAATGAAATTTGAGATTTATTAAATGTCATTTTGCAAAAGTAACTCTCTGAATTAATTGATCTAAAGTTTCGGATTTATATAATTTTGTTTATCCATTTCATGAACAAGTAGCCAATCCAGATCAACAAGCAACTTCATTGCCTGCAAATGAGTTGCCAATTATCAGTATAAGATTCTATTCCAAGCTAACCCGGAAAATCATGCTTTGTAAATAAAGATTACATCTGGACTTTGTTTGCATTCCTAGTGGACAAGATATTTGTCGGAGTGCAGATTCAACTCCTCTCCCTGCTGGCCTCATCTGAATGTGTGAGGTCTCTCTCAAAGGCAAAAGGTATAGGTAAAAACAATTGATTTGGGCACTATGTCTGAGATCTTAAGCAAACATCCAACTTGCTTTTCTAAGTTCTCATTCAAAAGAGTTGGTATAATAATTCCTATTCAATGATGTTGACTGAGTCTTAAAAAAAATTGAAATGTTCCACTTTTTACTGAGTTACTATAGCTTCCATTGAATTGAATGTCCATGTACTTGAGCTTATCTTAACATTTCTTCCTACAAAAGAGAACAATTCTCAGTTTCTCATCCCTGGAACCAACAACTTGCACATCTGCCAAAAGAAATTACCATCCCTAGAATTAGATTAGATCGGTAATTCGTGTGATCGTAAAATATTATATTTATATTATATTTTATATAAAAATTATATCATAATTTATATTAATATAAAAATATAAAATATAATTTTTTAATTTTATTAAATTTATTTATATTTTTTTAAAAATTTTAAATTATATTATTTTTACATTTTATATTTATATTATTTTATTATATCATATTTTAAATTATCAAATTTATATAGACTCAAATGTTTCATTAGCTGATATTGATGACCGACACGAAATCATATGTTTATGCCTTCAAAAAGTTAAATCTCCACTTGCAAAATATCCAAATAATGAGAACCAAAACACAAAAACCCTCCACTAGGGCCAATTATCTATTAAATGATCATTTATTGGAGACATTTGGTCAAGGGATTTCCAATTTCAGGACTTGTTCAATGCTTGAGATTTGATAAAGAAATTCACTGTTTTTTTTTTGGATCGAATTGCAAAGAAATACTATTTGTACCAAAACGAGGATGTCATGCAACCGTGACCACTACGTTATGAGCTTATGGTTTCAATCAATGTTGTTAAATTTATTTTGATATTGATCATATCGATTGGTATATTTTAATTATATTAAAATATAATATATTTAAAGATTATGTTTTTATTAAATTTTATATTAAATAATACTATTATTTTCTTTGATTTCAATTAATTTAAGTGAATTTTAATAGATTAATTTATTTCAATTTGTATGTGAATGTAAAATATATTTTATTATTTTTAATTTTTTTTGTTATTTTACTATTTTTAATTTAATAAAAATAAAACATTGATAAAATAATTTTCAAAAGTTAAAATTTTTTACCTTAACTTATTTTTTAAAATTTTATTTTTTTAAAATCCAAATTTAAAAATGTTTCAATATTTTTAAAAAAGCAATCACACTTCTTTTCTAAAATTTAATAATTATATACTTCCTTTGTAAAGTCTAATAATTATAAACTTTTTTTTTCATCTTTTTGTCTTTATTTTAATATTTATATGAAAAAATATTTATTAAAATATTATATAATCAGATTAAATATATGAAAAATTATGATAAATAAATGATTATTTTTTATACTTTTAAATTTATTTATTTAACTTTTTAAAATATTACATATTTATTTTATAAATTATTAATAATATTATTACGTATAAATTTATATATATTTAAAAATTTATTTATATTAAATTAAAAAAATCTCAAATAATATGACAAAACATTATACATCACATATATCATATCTAATAAAAAAAACAAAACGTCACATCCTTCGTTTTGACAGCCATGTGTACTTAAATCAATGGGTAGAAACGTCACAATCTCCTCCTAATAGCTATAATAGAAAAGGTTTCAGCTCCTCGTGTTTGGAAAATACCATTCAACTGATCGACATTTTTAATGACGGGCTCAACGACTATCCTTGGGTGAACCAATTAACACCTGGACATCAACACAGTCTTACCGCACAAAATCATCATCCAGAGCTGACCATTGAAACACTATTCTTTCGAGTTTATCAAACCAGACCAACCCAGCCACCAAACATAGACGTCAGAAAATCCAAAGCCAATGGAATATATCTAAGGAAAGATTGCCATAACCTAGAAATCAGAAGATACATATATACGCAGACTAATTTTGAACTCTCTTTTCTGGAAAAAAACTAGCCAATGCATCAAATTTCGCCAATATCCCTTTGCAGTTTCTCAGACATGTCAACTGAAATATGATTGAATAGTAATAAATCCATAAATATGATTTAGTAATAAATCCATATGCATGACAATATCTTAACATCCTTTATTAGATTTTGAAGCAGTTTTAAATTTCGAAAGCTTGGCAGCAATTCTTCGGACAGGCGACATGAAGATAATTCTTCACATCGACGGATTAAACCTACGCATGAGGAATACACACAGAGGAATTACAGAGATTGGTGAGCAGAAAGTGTTAAATTAAAATTGTCATTAGGATAGTTGAAATATCTTGACTTGTTCAACGAACTAACATAATTCTCCACTAACCCCACCTGCTTTCACTATCATAACGAGGCATATCTGGAAAAAGAGGTCCTAAAATCTTAAAACTAAAGTACTAACAACATGAAGACATAGAATTACTATTAGGGAAGGAGTTTCTTAGAAAAGGCAGGCTGAGGTTAGCATGATATTCACCAAAGTCGATGCCGCTTTCAACCAATGCTGGCACCTGCTATATCCTATAGATTCCTCATCAACCAATGATGTTCCTTCTCTACTCATGACTTCATTTTTCCCAACACTCGGACATAGCCTTCTATTCTATACAATACTATGGTGGTCTGAGCATGATCGAAATTCTATCTTGAAATTGATACTTGAATGAAGTTCATTTTAGAAAAACAAAATTTGACATTATGAGATTCCAAACTTTCTATAGAGATTGAACTTCCATCAGCTATGATTCACAATGGCAATGGCTGCCACTCATGACTTCAGGTGGTTGATAATCTGTCTAAAGCGAAAACAATGAAAAGACAACAATTTCTAACCTACCGAACTCTAGCCAGGCTCCTAGCAAACATCTGTCATTTACACCTAAGCTAAAGTATTATCCCTCAGCAGCTTTACAGCAAATGAATTTATTTCTACAAGCATGAGTAATAAACAGGACACGAATATTGCATGAAAATTCATGCAGCAAGGACCATCAACCATGGCTATACCAAATTTCTGAGGAGTAAAACTATTCACAGGTTCGCTTATTTACAAAGTGCATCACAGGGATGTTCCTATCACACAAACTTTAAATAAAAATACACACCACTATGAAGATTAACATCATTTAAGTTATCCTGAAGGCAAGATTTTTCTCAGTTTGAGCTTATTCACAAACTTACATTCATAAACAATCTGAACAAGTATGGTCATGCACATAACATAATCTTAAACAAAGTGAAAAAAGATTTGGTGGATCAAGCACTATCAGAGGATATCATGCACATATCATATACAATATAAATTTACACTGCAAATGACATCCACATGAAGGATATTATGCAAAAATGATACCATTCAACTCCCTAATTTGTACAACAAATGAATTTTTATATAACTTACAGTAAATGAATAATTCTATACATCATCAATAAACAACTTGTTATCTCATAAAAAATTTCCTAAAATCTTTATTATCCATTACTATTAACTTAAATGAGATGACAAAGTATCATTTATACATTGTCGGTGCATCAAATATATGTACTCGCGCAATAAATATTCGCCTAAATCTATAAACACAAAAATCAAAATAATAAAGTAGTTCATATAGAATGATTCATCAAATCATTGGAATTATTAAACCTAAAATCCCTCACCTCATTTCCATTTCCATTTCCATTTTCACCAACAACAAATTTCAACAACTCAAGAGCCTTGATCTTCCCTTTAGCACTTCCATTCTCAGCCAAATCAGCAATCCCTTCCATAACTTTAGCCCCCATTTCTCTTACTTCTTGCCTCCCCTTCTCGCCTCCGCATCGAGCCAAATTCAACAGCGCCGCCACCGCGTTTTCCCTTATTCTTCCACTAGCTCCAGTCCCTTCATCCAACAAATCACCCAAAACCCTAACCCCACCCGCCTTCCTCATCGCTTCTTCACTTTCTTCGCATCCCGCAACCTGGGCCAGCACCGCTGTGGCATCCTCCACGATCCCCGTTCTCGCATCCCTAACTATCAACGATACCAAGGCGGGAATCGCCCCGAGATCCACCAAACTCGCCCGATTCAACTGGTAAAGCGCGATCCCAAACAGCGCCTTCAACGCATCCTTAATCGACCGTGGCAGCGCGTTGGCGGCGGTGATAATCGACAACAGCGAGTAAAGAATATCACGTTTCGACCCAATTATCGGACGGTAAGACTCGTCAGCGATGAGGAGGCTGTGAAGCGTGGCGGCGCAGGACTGAACCGCGGCGGTTGAAGATGAATTACTCAGCACGTGAGACAACGCGTCAAGAAGGCCGCGCGTGGACATGAGAGAGCCACGTGAATTAATCGAGAGATTCAATAAAGTAGCGGCGGCGTTTTCTTGTATAGTCGGAGAAGAAGAATAAAGCGTTTCGGAAAGGTAAGGAACGGCTCCGGCATCGGCTATTAACGGTCGGCTTTCAGGGTCGTGTTTGGATATAAGCCTTAATTCCGACAAAGCTTGGGTTCGGGTCTGTTCGGAAACTGAGCTTAGTTTCGAAACGAGGGTTCGAGCGGTTCGGCGTTTAACTTCCATTGTTATGGGTTTGGTTTGGTTGGGGAAGTGTTGGGATAAGGTTGTAAGAAATGTTAGATCAGAGAAAATATCAAAGCGTTGGGAAAAACAGTGATTTTTTGACTTTTTGGTAGTAGCTTATTGAAGTAGTATTTATTGTTACAGGTTGCCGCCATTTTCATTTATGAAAATAATGGAGTTTTGACTTTTCTTCTAATTTTCTGTAATTTAAAAAAATTTTCAAAATTTCTTTTATTTAGAAAACATATTTTTCTTTTTTTATTAAATGTGAATGATTAGTGAGAAAAAAAAAAATTTAATACCATCACGTTACTTTCCTGTTTTGCATCTGAATGATTAGCAAGAAAAAATTTTATCGCGTCATTTTCAAATTCATCTTTTTAAAAATATAAATGAAAGGATAAAAATAAACATTATGATTTATTTAATTTTTTTATTTTAATATTTTCAAAAAATATTTGTGGTTTTTTATGCTAGAGATTTGTTATTAGCTTTATTTAAGAGTTGGATTATTCTTCTAAATTTAAAAATTTGTTTCAATTTAAAAAATATATAAATAAAAAATTATTATTTATTAATGAAATTTTGTTTAAATTTTAAACCGAATTTTAAACAATAAAATAAAATTCAAGCTCGATTGATTTTGATCTGAATAAAATATATATAATTAAAATATTATAATTATATAAATATATTTATGTAAATTTTTATTTTTTTATTTTATTTTTTGAAAATAATTTTTTTAATTATTTATAAATTAAGTTTAATAGATGAATTTAACATTTATTTTTTAATTTAAACAAAATTTTAAAAAAAATTAAAATTTGAAATATTAAATCAAATCAAACTTAAATAAATATATATTATTAAAATTTAACTTATGAACACCTTTTAGTTATCTAGCAACAAACATTGAATTTTATTTTATTTTTGTAAAAATAACATAAAAAAAATTTATTTATTTGTTCACTAAAAGCCCAAAACCAGTTTGAGCTCTCAATTTTTTAATGATTAATTATTCAAATCAAGATCTAATCTTCATCAAATATATTTCACATTATGACCAAATTTTTTATTTTATTCAATTAAAAATATAATATTTTAGTGATTTCTTTTAAATCCAAAACTAATTTGATATAAATGATTGCGTGTAAGACATGTGCCATTAAATCATGTGAGCATTATAAATTCCACGGTGATCTGTCATTTCTGGGCCAGGTAACATACACCTGGCCTAAAAGTATTTTGACAGTATTTTTTTTTTCACTGCAAGAAATTGATTTTCAATGAAAAAAATAGAGTTAAAAAAAATTAGATTTTAAATATTAGTAGTTTTATGTTAGAAAAAAATAAATTTAAATTTAGTTCGTTAAAAGCGATACCTAGTTTACTAACTCCATTAGATAATAAGTTTTTACAAATCTGGTTGTATTTCAGTATTAATCATTTTCTTTGGTTGCCAATGCTGCTTACAAAGTAACCTATGATTAGAATATTCTTAATGGGTATCATTAATTGCTTCCCAGTCTTATCCTTACTCGTTAATGTTTTAGGATTTTTTTAGAACGATTACAGTGGATATATTTTATTTTTAAGGTATTTATATTTGAGTTCGTTAATATTTTATAATATTTAATTTTTTAATTATTGTTTAAATTTGATATTATTATTTGAATCCTTATCTAATTATAAAATATAAAATATAAAATAAGTATTAAAATTTTTTATTAAAATAAAAAATAAATAAGAATTAAATTTAAAATTTAAGTTTATTCTTAATTAATAACAAATAAAAATTATTTGTTAAAATTTAGACACTTTCATAAATATAAAATTTTACATATTTTTTATATATAAACAAATCACGAATTTGATACTATTCATTAAAATATTTAAATAAATTTAGATATCGAATAACCAAAAAATATTATTCAAAACCTATTGAAATCCGTCAAAATAATAAATTTACTACATGTATATGTTAGTTATTCATTTATAAATATTTATATTCAACATAATCAAATCAAATAATATTAGATATTTATTTATTTAATATTCGTTTTTATCCTATTAATTTAATGGATGAGACCTTTTCTGAGTCTGTGAAGCATAATTCAAGAATTAAACCAAAGGATCAATCCTAGTGGGTATGAAGACATAAGCCTACCGTCATTAGAGCACGACCAGGCTTGAAATCTATCTTTTTTTCTTCTTTGTAAAATGGTCATTGATTTCACTTGACTCTTCATGTCCTTCAACCTACAGCAGGTGAGAACAGCTGGAAATCTTCTGGTTTCTATCTCAGTTGTGTCTATGCAAAACGAGTGATCATTTCATATCACCAATTATTTTGGCTCTACGTGAGGTATTTGTTTCTGCCATCATTGATTGGATGGGACCAAAAGTAGTATAATAGTAGTTATTTCATCAGATTTTTTACCAATTAATCTTTAATTTGTCTCTGTTGTTGCCTACCTCCTAGTACCATCTGAAAGTTACAGAGAATTTACTGAGTTCAGTTTTTGTTACTTACTCCCACACAGTTAACAGAATACTTTCACCTTTTTATGAAAGAATGAATGAAACTCACACATTCTGATCTAATGCTCTCAAGATTCGGTGGTGGGAAGTTGTGTAAGCTGCATCTCCTCTTCTAAAAAAGGTAGTTCCTAACTGGGTTCATTGTTAAGATGCATAGAAGTGTATTGGAATCCCACATCGGAACTTCTAAAGAAAAGTACTAAGCTCTTGGGTTCAACTATAATTTTAATTTGTACCTTTGGGCATTGCTAGATCTTTTAATTTAGATATGATAATCTAAAATATGATATGATGATACAACATAAAATTATCATAATGTATAGACTCATAAATTCATCACTAGATATAGATGTAAAGAGTCACCATCAATTTTTTTTTAGGTGTGATTAGTCATCTAGCTGAATTTATCATATTTTAAAAAGGAGTCCTTAGGTGTCATTAAATGGTAAATTCTAGTCTACGAAATCACATTTAGGTTTAAAAATACGGTTAGATGTGAGAAATGATATAATACTCTTACAGCTCTTATCCAATGGATAATACTAGTTTGATTTCAAGTTATCTAAGACTTAAACATCTTCATAGTTTTACCAAATGATTTAATTATTGGAGTTTGATCTTAAAATTACTCCAATAGTTTGATAGTAATTTAAAATAATTTTTTTACCTCAGGAGTATTCATAGAGATTAATGTCTAACTCTAAAGAGGTTCCGCCATCAGATTCATTAATATATTTTATTTATGTAACAATCAATAAAATTTTTCAATAATTTGATAAAATTTTACTTTGATATAGATTTATTAATAGTTTGGTGAGATTTTATTTGAAAACTATTTATAAAATATACTTTAAGAAAACTCATTAAATCTTCTAATAGTTTGATAAGAATTAAATCCTCCAATGATTTAGTATGATTGAAAATTTTTATTTTATTTAAAAAAACTATTATGAAATTCTCTAATAATTTGATAGAATTCATAATAATAATAATAATAATAATAACAAATCCATGAAATTCCTTCAATAGTTTAGTAGAAATAATTAAAACAAATCCAATACAAATCAAATAAATTAAATTAAAAAAATTTACCAAAATAAATTGTACAAATCGACACAACTGGGAAAGACGTGGCTTCAAACACAAAAAATGGCTCAAGATGGTGCGGCTCAAGGTTCGATTTGGCTCGACTTGTGGCTACTGGAACTAGGTTACAAATCGAGTTACACACGGGTCACATCGGGTAAATGGCAAAATGTGTAAATCTCAAATGAATTTTAAAACTTAAAACGGCATAGTTTCGTATAGGTATAAAAGGCCACAATCTTTTTTTCTTATCAGAATTCCTCTGCAATCTTTCTTTAGCCTATTTTCTTTTTGCTTCTCTCTTTAGATTTGATGAAGAACAATGATAATCGATAGGTTGAGCTTTTATTAGATTTTTAAAAATTAAACCATAAACTATTTTTTCATTGAAATTCCATTAGAAAATTCAAAGGCCACTGAAAACCTTAACTGAAATTTGAAAATTTCCAGAAAAATTCTAGAAATTTAAGAAAATCCTCAAACAACACCAAATTAAATATGCATTCTCACAATTTCCCCAAATTCCCAAAATTTCTTCAAAAACCCTACTGCTAGAAAAATTGTTATTTCAATTACTATGTGAGTTCTCTGTCTGATTTTTGTATACTCTCTTTTTGTGTATATAGCTTGATCGATTAGGGTTTATATAGGGATTCAATCTCTTTCAATTTGGGAAAAATCAATTCAACCTAATCATTTTTTTTCTATGATTTGGTTTTTTGTGATTTGATTTCTTGTGGTTTGATTTCTTGTGACTTTCCTTTTTAATGAATATTAGGATCAAAGAAATCTCTAAAATCATTCAATCATTAAATCCAATAATCTTCCATTGATTTTCCAATTTAAACCCCATGATTTCAAACTTTCCATTCCTTTTGTTCTTTTGATTTTTTTTACTTTCACCTTGGATTGTTGACCAAAATTAAAAATAAAATCACAATTTAAAATTAAAATCCAAAATTAAACTTGAAAATAGAATTAAATTTTAAATAAAAGTTCAAAATAAAATTAACATCAACATTAAAATTAAAATTATGGGCTTTTATCCCTTTTAGGCTTGAGGCTTTCTAATTAAGGTCCAATTTATAATTGAAGGCCCACTTTGATTCTGAAATTTTTTTTTGAACGAAATAGGTGTCTACAATTATCCCTCTTTGTACATTCTTATGAAATAGAAATGTTGCAAAGATATAGATAATCTTTGTATCTAGTTCAACTCATGCAATTTTTAAAAAAATCCTCTAAATCAGAGGCATGCAACATTAGGAAAGTTTGAAAGAAAATCCTTTAAATAAAGGCATAAAATTAAACATTAAATAACTCCTTTAAGTAGAACCTCAAAAACTTTAAATGACTCATCACGTAAAGGTTCACAACTTAAAAAAAAAATTTAAATGACTCATCTAAATAGAGGCTTAACAATTTTAAAAAACTTTTAAATTTGAATTAGGAAATAGGCTTCTTTAATTAAAGACTCAACAAATTTAAAACATGAACTAAGAAATGGGCTTCTCT